TAGTTTCAGATAATATTAATACCTCCTCACAGGAGGATTTGGATTTTCCAGGGGTATTTTGGCCTCATTTTCCAGTAAAATGTTGGCGGCTTGATTTTGACGATACAGAGGATTGAGGGGGAGGATGGTGTGAAATATATTAGTGTCAATTAGTCAATATATGAATATTATTAAGTCACAATATCCCCCCCCAAATTAAAAACCTTTTTAAGAACCTCTTCTGGCTGATTTCTCACTATGTACCATATATATAAGAACCACTTCAGCCTGAAACAGAAAATCACGGGTTCTTTTATGCGGGTGTTTACTGTAGTCACTATGCTGCTTTACTTAATATATATATTAATATTTATAGTTATACATTGCTATTTGTACATTTATGTTAATATAGACATGACCATGTAATGCTAGAAACCAATCGGCGAACCTAGTCGTATATTGCTTTACTTGATAGCTTTAGTTACCGCGACAGTTCTCTAAGAATTTGGTGACCTAACCTGACTGGTGTTTGATATTAAACATTGTGCAGTGAGCTAGTGTCAATTATATTAAGCGGGGGACACACCAGGCGAATTTGATCGCACGACCGCAGCGATCGCCGCGAAATTCGCATAGTGTGTCCGCTCAAGCGATGGCGAATTTCGCGGCGAATTTTATCCGTACCGAAATTTCGCCAGGCTATCAAACATGTTTGATATTTTCTCTGCGCAATTTTTATCGCAGCGCTACAGATTGCGCATGCGCGTGTCACGTGCATGGAAGCGAAAATCAGGAGACGGGTACAAGATGGTGTTGCGCAAAAGATGCGTTTATTCCCGACCGCGAGAAGCGGTTAAGCCGCGCACTTCCGTGGGACTGGGGCGCACGCGACGCGGGTGTTGTATGTAGCATCTCGCGCTGCCCCGTATACAAATTCGCGCGCCGAAGGAGGCGGCCCGCGCGCGAATCCGTATAGCGGGAAGCGTAACATCGTGCAGTTTTCGCTGAGACGTACACCGGCTTGACTACGGCGACTTGGGGAGAGGGCATTCTGCTGCTGCTACTTTTGGCTGCTCCAGAGCGCCGCTGCCAGCAGCTAGCAGGACTAGTATTTGGTGTTGCTGCGGTTTGGCCACGCCAGCCACGCCGGCCACGCTAGCGTAGGTGCTCCGCACGACGTGCGGTCGCACGGGGCAGCGCGGGGTCAGGAGGTTTGTCGAAACGTGGCACGTACGCAGCAGGCGCCACCACGCGGCCGCCGCTTTGGAGAAAGCATCTAGACCGCGCCCCCCCCACGTGGCGCCGTACTACACTTTCGTTTAAAGCCTCTGTAATAGACATAACGCTATACTCCGGCAGTAGCGCACGTCATTTTGCGTAGCGGCCAATGAGTGACGCGCGTCATCGCTGATTGACAGCATTTCTGAGGGTTTCTTGTAGGAGTCATTACGTCTTAGCCATGAGGCGCGCCACCACAAAAGTTTAGGGCGCCGGTTTGGGATGGCCTCCTGCCGTCCATCGCGAAAATGTTGGTTGGATGCGCCAGTTTTCGCGGAGCGTCGTTTTCAGACCCCTGTCTTAGGTATCTGTCTAAGGTGTGACAAAAAGGGGCGGCGTATTCGCTGTTAGGGCGCGGGCTTCGCGCGCGAGCTGTGCGCTGCGCGCAAAAACTGGGCCACAAGTCCGTCGAGCGGCCGATGTTATAATGCATCGAACAGGAACTTTTTGGAGCCATTTTTGGAGCGTGTGGCGACAGTAGATCGCGTGTAGTGTGTCCGCTTTATTATTATCTCCGCCAGGGGCTTGGCGGAGGTTATGTTTTTACCGCTCGTGTGTGTTTGAAGGTGTTGGTTTGTGGGTTTGTGGTTTGTGTACGCTCGCTGATGGCTGATTGGCCCGTCACCGCCCGCGCGGCCGCGCCGGAACCGCCTGTATCATACAGGTCAAGCCTACTGAAAAAGTTATAGACGGATCGCATAAAATTTCAGGATACGCTCAGAAATGGTCTAACTTAGAATTGATGCAGCATC